ACTAAAATGAGGAGAATTTTTATTCTTTACTAAAATTGTTATAAAGCGAAAATAACTAAATTTCTCTTAAATACAACATTCTTTACTTTATCTTCCCCCCAAACTCAACATCCTTAAGAAACTTTAAGATCTCATCCACATTAACATTAAGTGAGAACTAACTTTAGAAATTATATATATTGAAAGACGAGTGTATCTAGAGTGACAACAAAAAACCTTAAGTTCAAGTCTCGTAAAACCTTGAATTGCAAGTAATTTTAATTGTTTTTTTATTTAGTATACCACTTAAACTTTCTAATGAGTGCTTTCTCCAAATAGACCGAAGGTAAGGAAAAATTATTTGTCATATTTCTTACCACACATTTTTGAGATTTGAATCATTTTATAAGCAACATACATCTCAGGTTTGCCTGAAAATATATATTACTTATTAGCTTTATAAATCCTTTAGCAAATGTCCTAGACCTTATCTTCTCAATCCATCATATTTCGTAACGATTTCATTCACTACGAATTGATATATGATGACTTTTAAGATATCTAGGAATAAAGACCTCTCCTATATCAAATATCGATGCCCTTAACGAGAGAAAATTTCTTATAACTTTATTTAATGTTGTTAAACATTTAAAGAAGCCATATTGAATAGGCTATAAATTAATGTTCTAAAATACTAAAGCTCTCAATAGCACCTAATTTGACTGTTTCAGTTATGTCCTATTGGTCATTCCTAATACAGACTTGAATATCTGTTTAATCTTGAGAACCAACAAGCAACGAATAGAAATACCAAAGTCTATTCAATACATAAGATAAGTTTTCATATGCAAGTCTAACTTGTTAAATACCCTAAGTGAAAAGCCAAATTTTCTTTATACCTCATGTGGCATTGTATTTAAAAAATATTTTTTTCTATATGTTCAAATTTCCAAAAAATATCAAGAGAATTCCTAAGCTTGATTATTTTGTAGTTTAGGCGAACATACACCAAATAAACCTTAGTACCAACTTTAATTTATTTCTTTAAGGAAATAAACAATTAATGAGTACAATTTTATCTTTTCTTACTTACCCTATTTTCCTTGAAACATCAGTCAGAAATTATGTTATTAAGAGTTCAATATCTACCCTAAGTATCATAATCCACTACATACATACTGTATAATGTCTCAAATGGTATCAAATGCACAAGTATATCCTTGAATATATTTTAAATTTTGTGCATTGGATCCTTTAGTGTACTCACTAGTGTTCCTTTATTCTTTATTAAGAAATAATCAACCAAAAATTAAAGTCTATTCCGTTTGTAATTTTCAAAACAATCCTTAAGGAACTTTCCTAACTATTTCCTCATTAAACATAATCCCTTTGAATATTTAAAAATACTGTCATAATACTTATGTAATTAAGGTTACTCATGCTTTTCAAGATCCTAATTAAACATTAGAAGGATATTGATTTACAAAAGTTAAAGTGTTTCCTTTCTTTATAAAAAATTCATGCAAACTTGAATAAAAATGATTCTTAAATACACAATAACGCAATTAAATAATATTTAACAATAACTAATTCAATAATCAAACATGTCGAAATTAACCTTAAGTATTTATAAAAATAATTTATATTTAAACTCAATGAGGACAACAAGATACTTAACATAACATTGATAGCCTTCCTTTAGGCCGACAATATCAACTTGCAAATGGTACTCTCAATGTGGTGATCAAACATCGGTAACCAATCCTGTCAAGTGAAAGCCTTCCTTTGAGCCAACAATCACTCATATGACATAACTTTATATTATCCATGTTTATCACCATCTAACTATATGTGGGTCTGTAATTGGCCAAACTGAAGTCTTCCTTTGGGCCGACTACAGAGCGCATAAATACATAGATCCACAAACATCTGATAATTTTGAAAGGTATCAATATCAGAAATCAGAGTCTATTTTGGCAGCATGATTCATCAAATTAACACCAACAAAAGGATGAGACAACTATGCAACATATGTAACTTTAATTATTATTAATTTTATCTTTATGAAAATAACACTACCAAAATTATTTTCAAAATTAATAATAATATCTTTATATACATAATCTAATAATGGAAAAAGTCCTCTAAACAATTTATTAAATTCAGAAAGAAAAATAAAAACTGGATTTTCCTAAAAGAAATATTATTGATATTTTAACTCATCAACAATTCGACATAGACTATGAAGCACTAATTATAGCATACAATAATCTAATATCAATAATCAATTCCATAATTGTGAGTGTATTTATTATTTGGCCAAATTTTGACATTCCTTTGGGCCAATCACAATTCGCATAAACAACAATACTAAAATCTCACAATTTATTCTTTAAATTAATGTTAATTGATTCTGAATGAAAATAAAATACCTTAAGTTATTTTCAACCACTAACAATAATATTTTTATGCATAAAAATATTCATAGAATTTAAAAAGCCTGCCTTGATAAATTGTTACTTTATCAATATAATAATCAACTTTTAATTAGCATAATATAAAAGAGAAATTAAATAGTCCTCTATATACGCCCACAGATGTTTGTAACAAATTATAAATATATGAATTAGAAATAATTAAAGAAAATAAAGCAAAAAAAAACTTTTAACTCTTTCTTTTGATTGAAGTGGTTCTAGGGGCTAGCACCGTTTTTCCTTTAAGCGGCACTCCAGTCGCAATCTCTTCTTCTTTTTATTTTTTATTATTTTTTCTCTTCTCTTTCTTTCTTTTAATTATTTATACTATTTGTTTATTTTTTTTAATCAAAAGAAGATCCATATCCTAATTAATTTGTTAATAAAGAAAATAATAAACTTTATCAAATCAATCAACTATAAATTTGAACAATTTTCAAATTAGATCATGCAAAATTGTTCAATAATTCATCAATTCAAATAATTCAATTAGCATTTTGTTTAAACAAATAGATTGCTAAAAGAATAACTTGCCTAAAAGTAATTCACCAAGATCCAGTAATCATCCATGCAAAACATGTTCTGATACCACTTGTTGGAAAATTTAAACAAACCCTAATTCATGATTATTCTAAAATAAAAGCCATAAAATTACAGAACAATCAAGACTAAGGATCTAAGCATGAAAGAAAACCAAAATCTATAAAGAGATTAGAATTACCTGAAACCATTAGATAGATTGACAATGATCTGCAACAAGTTGTGGTTTGTAGTCTTCCTCAACTATAGAGCAATACTCTCTGTTTGATTGGAGGATGCTCAAGAAGTATAGTGTATTGGGGACCATAACTATATATTTATATGTTAATCCTAGGTTTTCCATAATCTCCTAAGATTAATGGACTGATTTCTACTCAATCACACCACTAAATGGGAAGTTATGGACAAGTAATCAAGACCCATTAAATAGCCCAAATACAATAAAATTGTTCTTCAATTTGTTATCCACATATGAATTAATTATTAAATTATTCCAACATTGAGTCCATATTTTAGACAGAGTCGTATAAGTTTGAAAAATTTACAATTAAATTGAATTAGTAAAGTCCCTTCAACCCAACCAAATCGACCAATCAACGTGTTTCTTGTGATTATGTTTAAAGAGAAATGACCAAAAAGTCCACCCTCACACAACAATATAGATGGATAAAAAGGACGTGATGACAACACCCTAAACACTTCTATTGACAAA